GATTACAGGCATGAGCTACTGTGCCCAGACAACTATGTGCTGTTTTAAAAAGACACATCTAAATTATAAGAACAGAGATAAGTTGAAAATAAGAAGATGGAAAAAAGATATGTAAGGCAGATGCTAAACAAGGTTGGTTTGGCTATATTAACAGACTTAATATAAAGCCTGTTAATATAGTTATGAAGTCTGTTGATAAAAAGACCTTCAAACAAAAAGTCATCAGGGATAAAGTCACTGCCTAATGATAAAAAGGTTCACCTCACCATGAAGATATTAAATTTCTAAATGTAATATCTAAACATGCATGCACCTAATAAAATTGCCTCAAAATACATACAGAGAAAAATTAATGGAACTACTTGGATTGTGAAGAGGTGGTGAGGAGGAGGCGAAAGGGAACTTGCACTCTTTTTTATTTCAAGATAACTTTTTTTTTTTTTTAACAGTCTCACTGTCGACCAGGCTGGAGTGTGGTGGCACAACCTCGGCTCACTGCACACTCTGCCTCCCGGGTTCAAGCAATTCTCCTGCCTCAGCCTCCCGAGTAACTAGGACAACAGATGTGTGCCACGGCACCTCGCTAATTTTTTATATTTTTAGTGGAAATGGGGTTTCACCATATTGGCCAGGCTGGTCTTGAACTCCTGACCTCATGGTTTGCCCGCCTCAGCCTTCCAAAGTGCTGGGATTATAGGCATGAGGCACTGTGCCGGCCAAGATAACATTTTTTAAAAAAATAACCTTGATAGTGGAGAGACTAGAAATAAATAACTCCCCTGTAGCCTCTCCCCAGCTTCCCCAACTTAAGGCTGATCTGGTTTCCCTCATCTCTCTTCTCCTGCATGTTAAACGAAATAACTGTATTTAACTATTTTGTCCTTAAATATAACTCCTTTAAAAAGAAACTACCTTGCTGTTATCACACTTAAAAAATTAACCAGTGGTACTTGATATCAAATAAATATTGCACTGGTTCACAATTTGGATTGTCTTTTAATGTTGAATGGCTAGGTTGGTTGACTCAGGACCCTAATAAAGTACATTCATTCTTATTTGTTGGTTTTTTTTTAGGTTTCCTGTAATCTGGAAATTCTCCCTCATCTTTCCAATCCTTTGCAGTTTTTCTTTTTTGAAACCAGATTGTTTGTTCTGGGGAGGACGCACAGTTTGAATTTTGCTGACTATATTCCTGTGTGACTCTCACCTATTCCTCTGTTTCCTGTATATGCTGTTAATTGGTGGCTGGCACTAGAAGTTTGATTGAATCCAGTTTCTTTCTTTTTTTTGACAAAACTGCATCACAGGTGATATGATGGTTGGCCATCAAATCTGTCTGGTTGTAGCTTTTTTTTTTTTTTAATGTTAGCAGATATTGATGATCATTAGATCCAATTTGCTTTCATTAGGTGTTGCCAAATGTCAATAGCTTCTTTCTACCAGCTCCTTTTCACTTGTGTTTGGAGTCTGAAGCCATGGAAGAGGGGCCCTGCAGCAGGAGCTGCATAGTCCAGGAGAGATGAAGTCACCGCTCGAAAACAGGACCCAGGGCAGGAAGGGTGTGGGGAAGAAATAGGCAGATTTAGCCTCTAGTCCTCCATCTCCAGTGCACAGAAAGTAGCCAGAAGCTGAAGGACAAGGTGATCTGAGGGCTAGCATGGGAAGAGGGGTCCACTGAGGGAGGAGAATTGATGAGGGTGGGGGTCAAAGGAGATCAGCCTGGCAGGGAAGCCAGGAATGGGAGCGAGTCCTGGCTCAAAGTAAGCAGGCAGCAAAGACCCATCCAAGAGCCAGTACCATTGTTTTCTTGGATCCAGTCAAGCATGCTTTCCTGGAGCACCTATTACATGTTCAGCACTGCAACAGGGACTTCGGAGAATACACAAGCAATATATAAAAATGGTGGTTTCCCCTTTCCACAAATAGGGCAAGCTGTTCCCTTGCCTCAGGGTGTTTGCACATAGCATTTCTTCTGCCTAGAATGCCCTTCTCCATTCTCCCACCTTTGCCCATCTCTCTTTTCCCTGATAGATGTGGTTGGGGGGTGCCATGCCAGTTACCTGGAGGGCTGGACCTCAGAGTGTGGGCTGCCAACTCCAGCATGCCAACATATCCGCACAGCAGCTCAGCAAGCAGCAGCTGTCCCAGGGCCAATGAACCAGCTCTGAAGCTGGGACCCCCAGAAGATTGCAGAAAGAAACGCTCAGACCCTGCAGTGGGCGGGTGGGAGATGGCAGCCTGTGTCGGCTCCCTGACCACTTCCAAAATGGGGGAGGTTGTGCACACCCTGTGCGCAACAGTAGCCCAGGTGCTCCATCTGCTAATGAAAGAGAAGGATCAAGGCTGCGCTCCCTCTGCCCACACTCAAAGGGCAGTGACTCTCCAACGTCCCTCTTACTTCTCTTACTGTCTGTTTCTTTATGATGGAAATAACGATGAAGACACTGAGACCCAGGGAGATTTGGTGGCTCACCCCAGGTACCCAAAAGGGTGAGCCCAGACATCCGGCTGTGAAGTCTCTACTGTTCACTGCTGTTCTGAGCTTGTTCCCACCCTCGTCCACTCTTGCGATTTTGTTTTCATCTTTCCTCCTCCAAGGGATGTCTTCCTTTGGAATATTGCTGTTGCTATATTAGATCCTGGATTATTAAATGGGAGTGCAGAAGAGGGAGGGGAACGAACATTCCTGAGCCCTGACCTTGGGCTTGGCACCAGGCTGGGTATTGTTGGCACATTTCCATAGTCAAGCTTTCTAACAGCCCAATGATCTGGGACTTTCTTTTCCATTTTGTGAAGGGACAACATAGAGTGTTAATTAGAGCAGAGCCTCTGGAGCCAGGCTACCCAGCTTCAGATGAGAAGACGGGGAGGAGAACAAATAAGTTAAAGTCTTCTGCCATCCCATCAGCCAGAGAGCTTACCTCCTTGCATTGTTTTGTGATACGCATAGACAGATACTGCATGCATGTATTTGTAATGTTTTAACAAACTGCACAATTTGCTTCAGAGGCTGTTTTGTTCGCTCCGTGGCTTGTGCCTCTCCTGGGGCCTTTGGTTTTTGCGTCTTCCTTGGGCCGATTTCATTTCACCTGAGGCCTTTTGCCTGCTCCCCAGGGAATCCGCACATGGGACAGGACTGGGGGAAGATGATGGCAGGAACTGCAAAAATGACTGGCCACCCAAGTCAGCTTTCTACACCCTAACACTGCACTTCAGCAGGTAGGATGGTGGCTGGGAATAAGGCTGAACAGCCTCTGTAAGTGGGAGGCTGGGCTCCCCTCTAGGGCTCAGGAGGGGCTTGGGAAGGCAGCAGTGAGTTTACCACCTGTGAATTAAGGCATGCTCTCAGTTCAGCAGCCATGGAGTCATGGGCCCTACTGTCTGGACAGCACACACAGCCCCATACTCCCTTACCACACATAAGCCATGGCCTCAGCAGACAGCTGGCTGAGCTGTTCCCTTTCAGGAGACAGAGCCCCAAACGGCTGTCTCTCCCTGCGGCCCGTGATGGCTTTCTGTAGTGTGTGTGTGAGGGCAGTGAGCCTGCACTGCTTCCACAGCAAGGTGACCCTCATTTGCCCACAGGAGTCACTGCACGCCACTGCTCGGCAGACTCACCGGGCTGAAACAGGGATGCACACGGAAAAACCCTGCCTTCCCCTCCAGGAACCACGCAGGGCATCTTGTGTCTTCACCCAAATGGGCACTGAGGACTGGGCACTGTTTCCTTTGCTTGATTGCTTTTCACAGACGCGTGTTTGCCCTGGTACCCCCACGCCATTTAGTGTAACCCTCATGTGCTAGAAGGTGACATGGTGACAAAGAGGAGAAAGTTTTCCAGTTCATAAAGATAAGAATTAAAGGACTATAAGCGTGGAAAATTAAAATAATTACACCTTCTAAGATGCCCATTTGGCATTCTTCTGGAGAAATCAATTTTGCTCTTACAAAACAAATAGACAAGATGATAATGACTTGTCAGTGAAAGTTCATCAACGGTCACAAGGCACCACTGGTGCAGATGTTGACAGTGTGGCAATTGTGTGGGGTTGGGCAGGGAACTCTTTGCACCTTCTGCTCAATTTTGCTGTGAACCTAAAACTGTTCTAAATAATAAGATGTACTTTAAAAATGAATTAATTTTAAAAAGTAGACAAACAAGCCACATACTTTCTCAGTGCGCTTCTTCCTAGACGATACTCCTCCGATTCTCGGTAGTAAGTCTGTTTGCCAATTTCCCTTTCCCAGAAACGCTTGAGATCATGGCAGGTGTTTCGGCAGAAGACCTCCCGACGGGTATACTGATGGTTCATCCCCTAAAAAATAAAATAGCTATGCAAATAACCAAAAACATATGACGCAATGCTCAACATCACTCATCATCAGGGAAATGTAAATTAAAACAATAATGAGATACCATCTTACTCCAATCCACCTTACTCCAGTTTGACTTTAAAAATAAAAAAACCCAAAAGGTATTGGTACAGATGCAGAGAAAAGAGAACATTTACATGCTGTTGGTGGGAATTAGTACAACCTCTATGGAAAACAGTATGGAGATTTCTCAAAGAACTAAGAGTAAATCTACCATTTGATCCAGCAATTCCAACTATTGTGTATATACCCAAAGGAAAAGAAGTCATTATATTAAAAGAGACACTTGCGTATGTTTGTTTATCACAGCACAATTCACAGTTGCAAAGATATGGAGTTAACCTAACTGCCCATCAACTGATAAGCGGATCAAGAAAATGTTATATATATATATATATATATATATATATATATATATGCGTGTGCGTGTGCGTGTGTGTGTGTGTGTGTGTGTGTAATGGAATACTGCTCACCCATAACAAAGTCCAAAATAATGTCTTTTGCAGGAACTCAGATGGAACTGGAGGCCTTTATCCTAAGTGAAGTAACTCAGGAATGGAAAACCAAATACTGTATATTCTTACTTGTAAGTGGGAGCTAAGCCACAGGAATATAGAGGCAAACAGAGTGGTATAATGGGCATTGGAGACTCAGAGGAGGGAGGTGGGGATAAAATATCACTTATTGGGTGTCATGTACACTATCTGGGTGGCAGTGCACTAAAAGTCCAGACTTAAACACTAAACAATTTGTCCATTAACCAAAACCCACTTGTACTCCTAAAGCTTTAAGAAAAAAAAAGAAGAAGGTGAACGCCCATAAAACATGATCCCTGAGACTCTGCAGGGCACAGGCATCCTGGCCCTGCCATTGACATGAGGGAGACCTGGCCAGCCACAGGATCTCTGCAGGAGGATGACAGTGGTGGCCTCAGTGCTTGCTGCTGGCTGGTCGTCACAGTGAGATGTGATTGTGGGCCTTTCATAAACCCGCACCAGACAAACGCCTCTGCCCTTCCTTCCTCCTCACAGAAGATATTTCTCAACTTTTGGCAGCAGGGAGCACGCAGCTGGCATTTTGTGCGTCTAGGTCCATTTAGTTGTCACAGTATCTGCATGAGATGGCCGTGACCTTCCTCATCTTTTAGGTGAGACATTTGAGGAGTGACAGGCTTCAGACTTCTGAAAGTTTCCAGGCCCTTTACTAAAGGAATTTATCATAGAAAATGGTTCCAGTGCCTGACGCCCCAGAGCAAGCTGCTTTGAGGTGTGTGTGTGCATGCATGCACACATGTGGGCTCTCGTGTGTGGAATTATACATGCCAGACACCCAAAATGCTCACTCTTTACACGCAGAAACTGCTCAACTTTCGGACCAGCGGAGTGGATCTAGCAGAAACCTCAAAAGCAGGAACTGCAGATGCTCCTGTCTGCTGGTGGGAACCCCTGCAGAAGAGCATGGGGGAGGTAGGAGCCTGGAGGAGCTGGCCTGGCATGCCCCAGAGAGGGTCTGGACCTTATCCCAAGAAGGGCTTTCAGTGGGGCAATGGTGGGTCCAGATAGACATTTTGCCAGATGTTCTGGGGGTGGAGACTGGAGGGGTGACAGTGGATTCAGGGGGAGGAAGGACTGGGCTGCTGAGGGAGCCCAAAGAGATGCTGTGACCAGGGTGGGAGGGGCAGGGATGAGGAAGAGTGGACAGACTCACAGGAAACTGCCTGGAAAATGAAGAACGGCTGTCAGTGGAGACTGTCCTGGCTCTACCTGTGCACACATGGGAAACGGAGGAGGAAGGCTGTGGGGTCTGGGCTCAGGCTGTGCTGGATGGATGGGGTTTGAGTTTCCTGGGTGCTGACCCCCAGGGGGAAGCACTGGAAGGGTGCTTGACACAGGAGTCTGGAATTCAGCATAGAGGTCTGGGCCAAGCTCTCAGAAACAGAGACCAGGACAGGAGGGCTGGGTAGAAGGAGAGAGGGGTTTGAAGCCAGATGTTCACTCCAGACCTGTGTTTCCGCTGCCTTGATATACCGTCTGTTTGTCGCATGGGTTCTCCTGGCCTCCTTTTTCTCATCTTTAAAATTTCTTTGGGCCAGGCGCAGTGGCTCACGCCTATAATCTCAGCACTTTGGGAGGCCTAGGTGCGTGGATCACCTGAGGTCGGGAGTTTGAGACCAGCCTGACCAACATGGAGAAACCCCGTCTCTACTAAAGATAGAAAATTAGTTGGGCATGGTGGCACATGCCTGTAATGCCAGCTACTTAGGAGGCTGAGGCAGGAGAATTGCTTGAACCAAGGAGGCAGAGGTTGCAGTGAGCCGAGATCATGCCATTGCACTCCAGCCTGGGCAACAAGAGTGAAACTCTGTTTCAAAAAAAAAAAAAGAAAGAAAATTTATCTGCAGGCCAAGTTTAGCCCCAAATGTGAAAGTATTCTGCAATTTATAAAGTTCCGAATAAACATAACGGATGAGCTTGGTCCTGGCCCACTGATTTTCCTGACTATTGTCTGGCCTAGGGACATCATTAGTCTGAGCTAATTGAATGTCATTGATGACCGTGAAAAAGTGTGAATCTTTATTTTCATGCAATATTGAGTGTGTGGCTTCTTGGGTAAATGACAGATTCATTTATCTTTATCCCTGGTCTGTTGGCCACCATTTAGGAAAGCTTGGATGACAGTAGAAGTTCTTAAGTTGAACCATATCCTACGTAGGGCCATGCCCAGAAGAGCATTTGGTAAGAGTGTTTGTCCTCCGTTCCTTCACTTCTGATGGGTCGGAGAGGAACCTCACCATGCCCACTTGTTGGGAGGTGTCCCACTTGCGTAAGATGGAAGATACATGTTTTTCCAAGAAATAGCAGAGCTCCCTCTGGGTTGAAGAGCGACATTCATCCCTACCTCCATCTGCATCATATTATTTTACAAAGTAACCAGCTGTTTTGCTGGAAAATGCTGGTGATACAATGGTGAAAAAAAGTAAGATCTCTGAGAGAAAATGCATTTCACTTTTAAACAAACTACCTTGTCTTCTTAGCTTGTTTTAGTCATTGTCCTCACTATGAGCAGAACTGTAATGGCTATTATCACTGATTTTGTAGCTTCAGGGAAACAAAATTAACAGTTTAGAAATACACTTTTAGGAAAATATAAAAATAAGGCAGAAAGAGGGGATTAAAGATATCTAGGCCAGGTGCAGTGGCTCATGCCTGTAATCCCAGCACTTTGGGAGGCTGAGGCTAGAGGATCACTTGAGCCCAGGAATTTGAGACCAGGCTGGGCAACATGCGGAGGTCCTGTCTCTACTAAATTAAAAGGAAAAAATTAGCTGGGTGTGGTGGTATGTGCCTGTGGTCTCAGCTACTCAGGAGGCTTAGGTGGGAGGATCGCTTGAGCCCAGGAGGTCAAGGCTACAATGAACCATGTTTGTTCTACTGCACTCCAGCCTGGGCGACAGGGCAAGTGTCACAGACTAACAAACAAACAAAAAGATATCTAATACCCCATCCTTCTTCACTCTAAAGGGCTGACAGTGGGCTAAGACAGGGCCCCTCCGCAGGGGACTTCAGATAACAGGAAGTGACGTGAACGCAGGCTTTCATAGGCACTGGCACCTCATGTGACAGGCACTGAAATGGGAAGCAAGAGGAGGGTACCCTGACCTGGCTGAGGGTTTGGGGGTCCTCCTAGAGGAAGGGCCTTGCAGGATGGATGGGCAGGAGCACCCAGGGTGCAGGAAGTGGCCTGTGCAGAGGCCTGTAGTGAGAATCCTGCAGAAACAGATCGGGGATTGGCTGAGGTTGAGTTGGGGAGCGGACTGAGGGCAAAGGAACATGGGCACTTTTTGGGGTCATGGAAATGTTCTGTGTCTTGCTTATTACTATTTTTTTTTTTTTTTTTTTTTTTTTGAGACGGAGTTTCGCTCTGTCACCCAGGCTGGATTGCAGGGGCATAATCTCGGCTCACTGCAACCTCCACCTCCCGGGTTCAAGTGATTCTCCTGCTTCAGCCTCCTGAGTAGTTGGGATTACAGTTGGTCGCCACCATGCCCGGCTAATTTTTGTGTTTTTAGTAGAGACAGTGTTTTACCATGTTGGTCAGGCTGGTCTCGAACTTCTGACCTCAGGTGATCCACTAGCCTTGGCCTCCCAAAGTGCTGGGATTACAGGTATGAGCCACCCACCGCACCCAGCCTGTGTCTTGTTTATAGTGTTGATTATATAGTGGTATACAGTTGCTTAAACTTACCAAACTCTGCATTTTAAATGAGTGAATTTCACTACACACAAACTATTCCTCAGTAAAGGTAGGGGAAAAGCTGCTTCTGTCTTTGGACTAGAAGTTCAAGTTCCCTGGCTCTAACCTACTGGGAGACTCTGTTAGCATCTTGTCATTTGGTTTATCCCTTTCATAGATAACACGTGTTTCTGTGAGTATTTGTGATTCGGTTTCCTGGGGTCTACAATGAGGACAACTGCTCTTCCTAGTAGAAGTATGACGAGGAGACTCTCCATAGTTGAAAGCTCTTGTTAAGTAAATAGCTCTATTCCTCTGTATCCTCTCAGCGAAAAACACCATCCAACCCCGTGCTTGAGAGAATTCGTACTGCTGCTTCCAGTCAATCACCACCAACCTGGACAAACCATAACCTCCATACCCATTAGGAATGTTACTTCACAAAATCAACAAATTAATTAACGCTTACAGAGAACAACCGCATGAAGGGATGTGAAGACGCTGATTCAGTCAAACCGAATGTGTCGCACTTGACCACCTGTGAGGCATCTGTGCTGCCCCAGGAGCCAACGCACGTTCAGTGAATCCACGGGAACAAAGGAACATTTGTCCCTCGCCAGCCTGAACGCTGTGCCAGCAATTTGATTTCCCAAGTCTCATTTACCCAGAGTATTAAACCCAGATTGAGAAATCTGAGAGTTACTTTTTTAAAAGAGGCTTTCGGCTTACACTGAGCGTTCTTGTGACTCTTGGCTAGGGTGGTTCGGCGCACACCAGATGACTGTGTGCACCGCTCATGTACTTTTTGCCTATCCAGCACCTCCTGAAAGCAAGTATTTCACGATTATTTTTCACATTTCCAAAAGTATGTTTAACCACCTTTTACATTGTTCTTTAGGATTGGGGCTTCAAATAGAACAGAAGGGTTCCAGGTCCTGGTGAGCTGGAGGAAACACACCCTAACCTGTCCCTCCAAAGAATGCAGTCTGGAGAGAATGCATGGCGCAGCTGTTTGAGGACCCTGAAAAGTAAACAGCAGCAAGTACACTGGGGGGAAATCCCCATAATTCTAATTACCATTGAACAGCATTAAATTTTCTATTTTTACTCTGGTGTCCCCAGTTAAGACTCAAGGCAACCCAGAAGTGGGAACAAGAATAGAAAGAGCTTTGAGAAGTCCTCTGGTTTTAGGGAGAAAGGGAATTGGAACTCTCACATATTGCTAGCAGGACTGCAGAATGGTATAGGGATTACTGTGAAGAACAGTTTGGCAGTGTTTTTTTTCTTTCTTTCTTTCTTTTTTTTTGAGAAGAAGTTTCCCTTTTATTGCCCAGGCTGGAGAGTAATGGCTTGCAATGGCGTGATCTTGGCTCATTGCAACTTCTGCCTCCTGGGTTCAAGTGATTATCCTGCCTCAGCCTCCTGAGTAGCTGAGATTACACACACCCGACACCACACCCAGCTAATTGTTTATATTTTTAGTAGAGAGAGAGTTTCGCCAGGTTGGCCAGGCTGGTCTCAAACTCCTGACCTTCAGGTGATCCACTCACCTCGGCCTCCCAAAGTGCTGGGATTATAGGCGTGAGCCACTACGCCTGGTCTGCTGTAGTGTCTTATAAAGTTAAACATACACTTACTGTATGACCCAGCAATTCCACTTGTAGGTATTTAGATTAGAGAAATGTAAACTTGTGTTCAAGCAAAAACTTGCACACCTGTACACAGCTCTGTTAGTGATTGCCAAAAATAAACAACTAATAGTTCTTTAATGGGTGAATGGATAAAAATATGTAAAACATTCATACAATGGAATACGGTATAGCAGTAAAAAGGAACAAACTATTTGATACATGCAATGACTTGGATGAATCTCAAAGGCATTATGCTCAGTAGCACAAGACAATCTTAAAAGGGTATATATTTTTTTCTTACTTTCCCCCCTTTTTTTTTTAACCTAGACAAGGTCTCACTCTGCTGCCCACTCTGGAGTGCAGGTGCATGATCACGGCTCACTGCAGGCTTGACCTCCTCCAGGTCAGGTGATCCTCCCATCTCAGCTCCCTGAGTAGCTGGAATTATAGGTGTGCACCACCACACCTGGCTAATTTTTTTTTTTTTTTTTTTTTGGGACGGAGTTTCGCTCTTGTTACCCAGGCTGGAGTGCAATGGCGCGATCTCGGCTCACCGCAACCTCCGCCTCCTGGGTTCAGGCAATTCTCCTGCCTCAGCCTCCTGAGTAGCTGGGATTACAGGCACATGCCACTGCACCCAGCTGATTTTTGTATTTTTAGTAGAGACGGGGTTTCACCATGTTGGCCAGGATGGTCTCGATCTCTTGACCTCGTGATCCACCCGCCTTGGCCTCCCAAAGTGCTGGGATTACAGGCTTGAGTCACCGCGCCTGGCCCCAATTTTTGTATTTTTTGTAGAGACAGGGTCTCGCCATGTTGCCCTGGCTGGTTGGTATATATTTTCTGTGATCCCATTTATATGGTCTTCTTGAAAAGACAAAACTATCATGACTGGCTGTGATGAGAAGCCGGGGAGGGTATGCCCGCAGAGGCATAGCATGAAGGAACTGGGGGACCCGATGGAATTGTTCTGCATTCTTCGTGGTGGTGGTACATGAAGCTGTATGTAGGTTAAGATTCATAGAACTGAGTACACACAAAAGAATCATTTTTTACTGTGTATTAATTTAAAAATAAAAACTTTAAAAACAGAACAGAAAGGCCGGGTGCGGTGGCTCACAGCTATACTCCCAGCACTTTGGGAGGCTGAGGCGGGCAGATCACCTGAGGTTGGGAGTTCGAGACCAGCCAGACCAACATGGAGAAACTCTGTCTCTACTAAAAATACAAAATTATCTGGGCGTGGTGGCGCATCCCTATAATCCCAACTACTCAGGAGGCTGAGGCAGGAGAATCACTTGAACCCAGGAAGCAGAGGTTGTGGTGAGCTGAGATCATGCCGTTGCACTCCAGCCTGGGCAACAAGAGCGAAACTTCGTCTGAAAAAACAAACAAAAAAACAGAACAGAAAATGCTTTTGGTAAGAATGCGTTTTGACTCTGCTGATTTGGTAAGATTCAGGCATGGAAAAGTCTCAAGGATTATTTACTGTCACTGAGACTCCAGTGAACCCATGAACCAGCGGCACCAGCATCACCACGGAGTTGGTACAAATGCGGAATTTACCAAGCCCCAAATCGGAATCAAGTCCCACATTTTCATCTCACCCCCAGATGACTCCTGTGCATAGCACAGTTTAAGCAGCTCTCAGAAGGCTGAGGCTAAGGCATAGCCTCTTCAGTGAGTCTCCCGAGAAGCCCACCATCGAGCATCTCTCTTTGGGCATTGCTTGAGGGTGTTGTTTCTTTGTGGTGTTAGCATTTCACCGTCCATATGTCCTGTTTTCTCAGAGCCTACTTAAGAGAACACTGGCATCGATTTCTGGCTTTCTCACAGTTTAACTTGTTTTGACTGCATCATTTAATTATACAAATTAGGTATGGAAAAGCCCTATTAGGATTTGTGAGTCATTTCCAAGCGTACACAAGGAGGTTCAGAGGGAAAGGCGAATCCCAGCCACTGAGAAAGACAGGTTCACAGGCTTACAAGGAGCATCCACTTCCCTCCCCGCCGAAGAGTGGGATGAACCTCCACCAGGTTCCCACCCACGTCGAATTCAATGTCCTTTACCTTTGAGATGAATCTGCTGCTGCCTTGATGTGTTGTAAAGGAAGGCAAGTATTGTAACTCCTGTTTCCTCAGCTCTGGGGCTCTCAGAGGCCAAGACCTGGTCCTGAAACCTCAGAGTCTTAATCTTTTATATATAGAGCAGAGGAGTTACAGAAATGCCTTACCCTGACAAGGTTATACACACCAAATTAGTAGCAGAATCATGGATATCTTATTCCAGGGACAAAGTGTAAAACAGTCCCCATCGCCTGCTCCCTCTACCCACCCCGGGGGCAGGTCAGCTTCTGCTCTGGCAGGTTCTACAGAGGCCATGACTTGGCTGGAAGTAAAGCTAATGTTTAGAACATGCCCTGGATCATCTATGAGCATGAGTCCTGGGTGCATCAGGCCAGGCTGCCCTCCACAGCTCAGGGGCTAAAGAAACTGGGATGAGGTGACAAGTCACACTTCGGGGTCACCTTACAGGATGACTTAGAGAGGCGTGTGGTTCTTTGGAGCTGCTAATCCAAAGATAGAGCTGGTCGGTGACATTTCACAATATGCTCAGTCCTCCCCCCAGTGGGGGCAGAAATAGTGGTCATTTTTCAGTAAAAGGCATCAAACCAAAAAGTGAACCAAACTTTCACTTCTTAGTTGAAGATGCCCTTTAGGCATTTTAAGAGCATGGTGTGTTCTTGCGTGAAACTTCTGGGGTGGTCCCTTGTATGGAAACAGATCCAGTTCAGGTCATCATCAGACCCTGCTTTGCCACTAATAAGCCTGCTTCTGACTTAGGTTACTGCAGTCGCAATGTTGATACTAAGGACAACACTGATCTCACTGAAATATATTTAAAGGCAACAAAAATACCCATTTTGTGTTTTGTGTTTTTCTGCTGAAAAATATCATACATAAGCAGACAGAATAGGATACAAATGTAAAATTTAAATATTTCTACTGTAAGTTTACGTACCCATTTCCCCTTTAAAAAAAATTCACAATGAAACTGAATATTTAATAGGTAGAAGATCATCTTGAAGGATTGGGCTGTTTTATCTTTGTTTATTCAATGACATGCTAAATACTGGGAAAGTCTTTTTAGCTACATTAGATTCCTTAAACTTTACTGAAGCCATTAGCAAGTCCTTTGAGAAAAAGCTTATAAAATTAAGCTTAAGTGCTGCCACTCCTCATGGGCTCACAAGTGATCTGAAAAAAAAAAAAAAAAAAACCCTAATCCACTAGCAGGAATTTTGTAGCCTCCGTTATTTATTTACTTCAAAGCACAAACATTTATAATTTTCTCAGTTCAGCTGAATTTTGAGTTGACAACTTTGTGAATTTCCAAATTTCCATTCTGTTTATAATTTATTTAATGGACATAGATTCCTACAAGGGTCTTCTCATTCAGACCAAAGCCAAGTATCTTATTTGGAGTTAGAGTATGTCTTTAATCCATGTTACCCACAGACTTTCTCTGAGAAGTTTAAGACTCCAGAGACAGAAGAAAATTTCTCTGTGGGGGTGGGTGTGAGGCTGTGGCTGATTCTGTGTCTCCGTAGCCAAAGTTGCTCACTTGGACCTGATCCTGAGGTGCTCTCTCACCTTTCGGGATTCACAGACACACGGGGACGGAGGGAGAGATGTTTAGCGCTAGGTCCTTCCTGCTCTGACACCAGCGTTGGAAACATTTTAAATTGTACTTAAAAACCTCATGGCGTGGGAGGGGTCTGGGTGATAATAGGGCACAACCATTTCCCAATTTAGCAAGCTTCCATCTCTGTGTGTGTGTGTGTGTGTGTGTGTGCGTGCGCGCGTGCATATTTTTAATTTTTGCAAAGTTTTTTATTTGTTACTTCATGGCTTGATTTCAAATAGTTCTGATTAGCTCAAGCTGTTTACCCCACTGGAAATCAAACTTCTACCCAGTGACAGGGGTCCCACTAGAGGAGGGAGTTGCAAT